TGACTATTGTTCAATACCTGTAAACTGTTTCCTTGCATATTTTATGAGGTGTAATGATTTTTGTAACAGCACGAGTGCCAGTCTAGTGCCATTAACAATACACATTTATTCAACTTTTTTTTTTTTTGCTTAAATCATGCAGATTCAGCTTCTGTTGCATGTAACTAAGAGCCCTGACTGATGCAAGCTGTTACTTTATGTCAGGCTCCTGATAGTGTGCTTAGCTTTTATTATGTGATTTAATCTTCATTTAGAGAACTCCTTCCTTGTAGAAATCAAAGCAATGGGGAAGAGACAATTTTCTCTAACACTGGTAAAAAAGGTAAGCAGGTTTCAGTGAGAAAAGTATTCTAGATGTATGAAGCATGTAAATGCACAAGAGAGTGAACATGACAAGAAATAAAGGTGAAATCTTTGGCATTGTCAAGGGAATAGTTCTGAGACCTTCATAAATTCTCCTAATCCAATAAAACCACTATACCATAGAATTTCCTCCATAAAATGCAGTAAAATACAATTGTTTATACAGTACACAATCCTATAGGATTGTCTTAAATGCCTTTCCCATGCCTATTAACATGGGTACCACTAGGATAACCAACCTTCCCAGTTTAACCTAGAGTATCTCAGTTTTAGCAAAGTCTCACAATCCCAAGGAATCTCTCAGTCTCATGCAAACTGGGATGGTCGGTCACCCTTTATTATAATGTGGCATCACTCACTTAGCTACAATTAACTGGCCCTGGATGGACACCAGACTTAAACTTCAATGACAAATCCTTCTCCCAGATGTATGGATATGGGACCATAGTGTGTATGGCAGGAACCTTACAGATCTTCTTTCAAGAGAAACCCTACTGTGAGCAGTGAAGTCAGACAATAGCCTCCAGGTATAGCACTTTTTGGATATTTTTGTATCGTTTGATCCAAGGCCATTCCCATCCTAGGCATCTCCAGGCAATTTCTGAGCACAAAAGGGATACTAGGGCCATTTATGCCCAATATGGGATTCTTATAATTAGCAATTTTTGCTCTAGAGTTCCCAGTAGGGCTGGCTGCGACTTCCATAGAGTTGCACTGCAAGCTGAGGCATTTCCTACCCATTTCTCCTTAATTTCTTCTCCTTTAACAATGTGAGACCTGTACTGTGGTCTGAATTCTATCCCTGCCTACTCCTGCTCTTCCTCTTTATCTTCTTAATCATTACCCACAATAGATCTCTGGACTTGTAACTCCATCTTGGCATCTGCTTTTCAGAGGACCCAATGTGGCATAGTGTCTCTCTCCAGTGGTTGAAGCTGTAAGATGAAAATTTAGGAAGGTGTCAATAACCATACTTCCTATTGCATGGACTTGAGAAACAAAGGAAGCTTTTAAAGGAGGTTGGGGGGAGGAGAGAGAGAGAAAGAGAGATGGAGAAAGAGCAAGAGCAAGCACAAACGTACAGGGAGAATACAGATAAAAGAATGACAGAGCCATAATGGCATTTGAATACTTGGTTTTGACCATTTTTGAGGCCTAACTGTACCTTGCCCTTTCCAAATTTTGATTGTTCCACTCCTTAAATTTGGTGAGACACACCATTATCTTTCCACAAACTTCTCTCTTTCACTTAAATGAGTTTCAGGTAAGTTTTTGTCCCTTTCAACTAATGAAATACCTCTTCACTGCAAAAATTATTGTATAGGCTACTGAGTTTGTGCTGAGTCATATTTCTGTTTACTCAGAAATGTTCATACCTTGTTCATATCTTCTGACACAAATTAATATACTTTTCAGTTTTTACCAAATTTTCGTCCATTAGTAGATGAGGAGAATTTTTCACGGCCTAGATGATTTTTTGAGTTTTAGCATTTATTTATTTCTGTATATAGTATATAGAATTGTTGTCATAGACCAAAGCCTCAGCCAAATTCAACATTGCACTATGCCCAGAATATTTATTTTCTGAATAAAAGTCACTTTTAGTTACATAATAAAGGTTACTTTTAATATGAATCTTTTTTTCTTTCTTTTCTTAATTATTTTTAACCTTTTCAAGGATCACTAGTAGCTGGTTCTTTTAAGGGCCACTTTGATAAATCAAAATTCAAAATCGCAATATACAATTTGAATCACTTTTCAAACTCTTAAGGTTATGAACAGATTTGGAGAGCATGAAAGCTTCATTAAGATGCTGATAAAACTAAGATATAGATGTTGGCCAAAGATGAGAGCTCCTACACATCAGTCTTATATAATAGTCCATGCAAGAACGGTGCTAATTTGGTCTAGGGCAGGGTTGTCAACTTACAGTCCACAGGTCAAATTCTACCTCTTGCCTATTTTTGTAAGTAAAGTTTAATGGAATACATTCACACTCATAATTTAAGCGTTGTCTGTGGCTGCTTTTGCTCAATGAAGATAGAATCAAGTAGTGAAAGACAGAGACTATATGTGTCCCACAAAGCCTAAAATATTTACTATCTAACCCTTCACAGAAAAAACTTGCCAACCCTCATCGCAGGTGGAGACAAATAGATGAGCAGATTATATTTTTGGAAGCAGAGCAGGAACAAGCTTGGTGTATTCTGGGAACATAAGGAAGGCCCGTGTGGCTAAAACATAAAAAGACCCAGATACTACCTTTTTTTTTTTAGCATATTTGTACCTATTGATTTTTATTCAGACATTAATTAACTCATTCAACAAATGTTCTTTAAGTTCCCACTCTGTGCTAGACAGTGTTAGCTACTTCACACACACAAGCACATACAAATTGTAATAAGGGAAATCAACAAACAATTGTAACAGGATAGTAAGTGCTAACTACAAATGCAATTGATGCCAAGTGGAGGAAATTAACTTTTGTTTCACCACCCATTCAATATTTATCTGATTTTCCATGGTACCTTCCTCCAATTGTACCTGAACCACATCCTATCTGGTTGGTCATACCTCCCTTCCTTTAGTTACTTAAATGCATCATTATATTAATAATCATAGTCATAGCAGCCAATACTCATTGAGCATTTACTGTGTGTCAGACATGGCTAGGTACTTTATACACATTGTCTCATTTAATCATCACAACCCTATAATATAGATATTATTATTATGCCCATTTGTGGGCATAATAATTGAGGGTCAGAGAGGTAAAGTCCTTTGCCCAAAGTCTCATGTGTGTCTCACAAAGTAGCACTTAGGACATTTATTTTCTTCCTCATCTACTCTGGCTTGCTGCTGATGCCTAATGTTACGATCATCGCTGCTTGATGGTATCACCTACCAAAGGCACCACTATCACTGCCAATACCAACCCAAGTCTTCCGTCTAGAGCATTCCAGTTTGACTCCAGGGCATTGTCTCTTGAAGCTCTTAGTGTTGTTTTTCATAGACACCACATATCCGGGAACAATGAACATATTTTGTGAAAGAGTTCTTTGTAGTTTTTACTTGTGCTTTCATTATAGTTCCTTTCTTCAGGTTTGGAGCCAGATTACCTAGGTTTGAATCTTAGCTCTGAAACTTAACTGCTCTGTGACCTTGGTAAAATTGCTTAACTTATCTGTGCCCCAATTTCCTTACCCTTAAAGTAGGGATAATAATATTAACTACCTTAAGTGTTTGTTATAGAACACTTACCCCAGCATTTGGCATATAAGGCAGGTTTAATAAATGTTAGTTATTATTACTAAGGCAACCGGCTTCTTTTTCCAACCCTTAACAGGCTTTATCTATCAACCTCTTGCCTCTTTCTGGATACTTTCTATCTGTTGATTTCACTTTACCTTTATTGACCTTATTCACTCTAATTGCTACTATCATGCTCCTAGGACCTTTGATCATGTTCCTTCTGTCTGGAATGTTCCTTTTCCTGTGTGCCTGGCCAATTACTCTAAGTTCTTTAAGTTCCTTAAGGGCATGGACTGTATCTGCTTTTTGTTTACCATTTTATACCCAGAGTTTAATACAGCACCTGATGTACAGTAGGCATTCATTAATATTTGCATGAATACCAGCCTGAGTCTAGAATCTCACCTTATTCAGTTATTCCTCTGTATATTAATTCACATCCTAGCTATAGCCTTTTTTCTGTCTAATCACTGGTTCTAGACAATTTTCAACAAATATTCACTAAATACATACTATATGTTAGGGTCTGTGCTAGGGTCTTGGAAAATAAATTTGAAAAATGCAAATTTTTTTCTGGTCTCAAGAGACCACTTGTTCATTGAAGGACATAGGCACGCAAAGGGAGAAGTTATAATCCAGAATGATAATTGCTACACTGGGGGCCTGTACTGGATCCATTGGGCATACTGAACCCATGGAAAAGAATAGAAATTTATCTTGGAAAACAGAGAATGATTCACAGAGCAGCTACTATCGAAAGTGAGTCAAAATAATGAGTAGCAGTTTTGCAAAAGAACAAGTAGGGGTAGAGCATATGACAGAAAGAATTCCAAGGCAAAAGTATGAAGACATTTGCTTGTTTTGTTGATCCTGACTTCTACAGACCGTTTCCTTTATCATCACCGTCTGACATTAGGCCAATTATTTTTCATCTCTAATAACTGCAATACTGCTGTTTCCCATTTTTCAATGTCTGTACATTTGTTTGTTCTTCCTCTAGATTTTTTTCTCCCTCTATCCTGGATTTCCGTTGTATTTTTTGGTCCTTTTTGTAATATGTGTTGTTCTTGAATTTTTACATGCATAGGATGTGCATTCCTAATGACTCGTTCCCTTCTAGTAATGTTCACTGTTTTAAGCACTGTATGTGGACTCTGGATTCAAATAGCTCAAATGAATTGGGGGGAGTCCAGCAGTGAGTAGTATGTGACTTAAGTTCAAGAAAGTGGTGCAAGGAAGTGGAAGAATTTTTGTTCCAGAAAACCTCAATAAGCACTTATAACTAGGTTTGTTCCAGAAAACCTCAATAAGCAACCTCGTAAGGGGGAAGACTCCGGAGGAGCGCTGAGAAGGCAAACAAGGAGACCCAGGTGTCACACGCAGTGTATTTGTATGGGTCCGTCTATTTTCCTCTCCGTGCCTGTGGCTCCAAATCTGTTAAACGAAGGCAAGGAGCACCCCATCGCGACCCTTCTGAATCAGAGGTTCTAGCACGCCCCCGCAGCGGCCTCGGTCCAGGGCGCACAAGGCGCCCACCGCACAGGGCCGGAAGAAGTGGGGCGGGGCCTCTAGGCTGCTGGGCCCGAACGGACTGGGGGAGGGGAGCCCGGGGCCGATAGTCTCTGGGAAAAAGCAAAAGGCGGGCGCGAGACTGCCTCCCAAGGCTCTCTTTGCTTACAGTTCCTCCCGTTTTGCTGAGTTGGGAGTCGCGACCTCCAGCACAGGTGGGTCCAGTCCCATGGATCGGGAAGGGGGGCCTTTGGTGGGTGCGGTGGTTGGGTTTGCCCAGACGCTCGCTTTAAGGCCTGGCGCGGGGGCGAGGGGGACGGCTCCCACCGCGTCTGCTCAGCCCCAGGGCGGTGGTACTTACCCTAACCCCTGTAGAGGAGAAGGCCACTCGTGCCTTGCCGCAGGGCTGTCGTCACGCCTTATGCCAGTTGCGCGAAGTCGGCCTGGAGATCAGTGCAGGGCCAGATGGGCCTATAGCGCTCGGGAAGACCCGGAGGAGCTGGAGCAAGCTCGCGTTGGGACTGACGCCCAGCGTACATTGTTTCAAACTCGATCGGACTTCCCCGCCCTGGGTCCGTCACTGACTTGGTATCTAGCTTTTCAGAGAGTGGCTAACCTGTTCAAGCTACACTGCTTGGCGGTGGAGTGGAAGGTGGAACTCGGCTGTCCGCAAGACCTTGCAGCACTGTCTTTCGTTATAATATCCACTAGTGTTCTCTGCCCAGATTTTACCCTTTGTCTGCCCCTCCTGAGCAAGAATGCCTAGCAAGAGTCGGGAGTAACCGGGCAGGGCATTGGAAAAGTTAGTCGAGGAAGTGCTCTCCATTACTAAAACAACTCTGAAAAACCTTTTAAACATTTTTAACTACTAACTGACCTGAAAGCTAGAAAAAAACGTTCATTCATTCAGTGCCTTAGTTGAATGTCAGCTCTGAAGAATGCTTTTGTGAATGCTTTACTGTTAAAGATTTTAACCAGACGATTGACCAAAACATTATGTGTTGAATGAACATAGTACACTGCCCAGCAAAAGTCTCATCATAAAAGACTTGGGTAATTTAACTGTTAACCAATCGCTGAAAGAAAAACTTCAGCTTTCATATGTAGGAACACTTGCATAATCCATTCCCAATAGCACTTTTAAACAGTTTCTTCTTAGCTGGTATTGCCCTTTCAGGAAGCACTATAGTAAAAATTACATACAGTTTATTTTACACTAACTATAAAGACAAAGACTTATCCACACTATGGACCAACATCGTGTCATTCCAATTTCATCTCATTATGGAACTGCTTACAGTGGTAATGGCAACCCTATATTATGCACTGTAATCTTCACAACCATGAGAGGTGAATGTGTTTGTCATCAGACTTAAAGGGATTATACTCTACCCTGGTAACTAGTATGATGAAGGGAATCTTTGAGGGGTTCGTTGAGTCCAGGGGGCTTCCTTTGCATGCCGCATGTCATTCTTATTTCTGGGAAATCTGCACTGGGACAGATCACTTCCTGGTTTTGGTATCTGTACCAGAAACCGCAAGCAGTTCTGTATCTCTGCTTGTCAGCCTTGGGAGAAGCAATAAAATAGCCAAACTAACACTTGGTGTCTGTACAGTGTTTCTGGCAGTTGTATTTTTTGCCTGCCAGGATGAGGGTGGGGGGAGGGCTGGATTAATAAACCTCTTTGGTATGAAGAGTCTCTTTGTGACTGAAGCCAAAGTGAACATAGATCCACCAGTTGGGTGCCCATTGTGACCCTGTTTCTACAACACCAAACGTCCTCTGTGCTCACATGGGCTGGCTGTACAATCTGCCACTCTGCCCTCATGTAAAGAATTTACAGGATAAGAGGCTCTTGGCAAAACGCGGTCTGTGCCACACCTGCAGGTTCTAGGCAAGGACTGCCTGATAGGAAGGTGGATGTTCTTCTGGACATGGGACCTGGTGATTTCCCAAACAGTTGATAAAGTGAGAGGGAAATTGTGATAGACTTCTGCTGAGCCGACCTTGAGGGTGAGTTTAGGACTGGCTGTTTGGCAGGCACCGGTGAATGCTTTGTTTGGCTGTATTTCTACTCTATTCATTTATTCTTTCACTCCAAAGACAATCAATGAATGCTTACTCTGTGCCAGCATGCTGATCCACTCACTGAGATTAGCAGCAAAGGAAGACAGTAAGTTTGGGAGGAGAACAGGAATTCCACTTTAAGCATGCTAAGTCGGAGCCATCTTCTCTCTTCCGGATTCCCAATATAGAATCAACTCAAAATCTTGCCACTTCTGCTTCCTGAATATTTTTAAACCTATCCACTTCTCTTTGCCCCCATTGCTACTCCAAATTTTGAGCCAGCAGCATTGTTTTTTATTCATTTATTTAAAATTTTTTATTTATCATTGAAGTGTAATTGATATACAGTGTTATGTTCCTTTCAAGCGTACAACATATTGATTCGACAGTTCTATACTTCACTCAGTACTCGGCAAGATAAGTGGAGTCACCATCTGTCAACACACAATGGTATTAAACTAGTATTGACTATATTCCCTATGCTGCACTTTTCAGCTCCGTGGCTTACTTATTTAGTCACTTAAAAAACTTTTTTATTTTAAAAGATCCAAATCATTGCTTGACCCTCAGCCCTCATGGGAAAACCAACACTCCTATCATCACCACAGCAACAACAACATACAACAGCCCAATGAACTCTCTATGATCCTTGATAGGTTGTGAAAAAGATGCACTTTCTCTTTTCTTTTCTTTTCTCTACTGCCCAGAGTGTCTTTAAAATTTCTTGTATTGAGACAACATGGATGGACCTAGAGCGTATGGTGTTAAGTGAAATAAGTCTGACAGAGAAAAACAAGGACCATATAATTTCACTTATATGTGGAATCTAAAAAAACAAAACAAAACAAACACAAAAACAAACAGACTGTTAAATGCAGAACAAAGTGGTGGTCGCCAGAGGGAAGGTGGAGGGGGATGGGCAAAATAGGAAAAAAACATTGTATTAAGGTATAATTTACATACCGGAAAATTGACCCATTTTAAGTGTAAACTTCAAGGATTTTTAGTAAACTTATTGAGGTCACAAACATCACTGTAATCCAATTTTTGACATTTCCATCACCTAAATAACATCTCCCTTGCCCATTTGCAGTTAATCCTTATTACTGCCCCTAGCATTGGGCAATGTAATCCTTTTATGTGTCCATGGATTTGCCTATTCTTGGGACATTTCACATAAATGGAATCATACAGTGTGTGGTCTTTTGCAACTTGCTTCTTAGCATGATGTTTTCAAGGTTCATTTATATTGTAGTATGAATCAGTACTTTACTTTTGATGGCTGGATAATGTGCTACTATATGTATATACTACATTTTATTTATTCATTTGTCAGTTTATATACATTTGGTTTATTCCCACCTTTTGGCAGTTGTGCGGAAGGCTGCTCTGGGCATTCAGGCACAAGTTTCGGACATGTTTTCAGTTCTCTTAAGTATATGTCTAGGAATGGAATTGCTGTTCCATCTACTTTGAAAATCTGTTGTTTAGTGTAGCCACCTTTGTTAATTCTCTGAGCTCGATCTTCTGGATACCTTGCTGCATCAGCCCTAGCTGCTTCACCTTGCACTTGGATGTCATGGAAATGGCTTCTTTCCTTCAACCTCATGAACCAAGCTCTACTAGCTTCACACTTCTCCTCTGCAGCCTTTACAGAATTGAAGAGCATTAGGGCCTAGCTCTGGGTTAGGCTTTGGCTTAAGGGAATGTTGTGGCTGGTTTGATCATCTTTCAAGATGACTGCAACTTTCTCTGTCAGCAATAAGGCTGTTTTGCTTTCTTATCATTTGTGTGTTCACTGGAGTGGCACTTGCAATGTCCTTCGAGAACTTTTCCTTTGCCTTCACAACTTGGTATCTGTTTGGCACAAGAGGCATAACTTTCTGCCTATCTCAGCTTTCAACATGCCTTCGTCACGAAGCTCAATCATTTCTAGTTCTTGATTTAAAGTGAGAGACATGCAACTCTTCCTTTCATTTGAGCACTTAGAAGCCATTGTAGGGTTATTAATAAGCCTAATTTCAGTATTGTTGTGTCTCAGGGAGGCCCAAGGTGAGAGAGAGAGATGGGGGAATGGTTGGTCGGTGGAGCAGTCAGAACACACATTTATTGCATTCACTGTCTTCTGTGCATGCAGTTCATGGTGTCCCAAAACAGTTACAGTAGTAACACCAAAGATCATTGATCACAGATCACTGTAAAAAATATAATAATAATGAAAAAGTTTGAACTATTGTGAGTGACACAGACACATGAAGTGAACAAATGCTGTTGGAAAAATGGCACTGTTAGACTTGCTTAATGCAGGGTTTGCCACAAACCTTCAATTTGTTTTTAAAAAAATGCAGTATCTTTGAAGCACAATAAAGAGAAGTGCAATAAAATGCCTATGCCTGTATTGGTGGGTTTGGTTTGCTAACATTTTGTTGAGGAATTTTTCATCTATATTCATTCGAGACATTGCATGGTAGTGCAATTTCTTCCCTTAAGATGTATTTGTCTTGATGTAAGATACCAGTCTCATAGAAAGAGTTGAGAAGAGTTTCTTTTGTTAGATGTGTATTTTACACGTTTCTGCTTATTATGTCATTCTGATGAATTGACCCTTCTTCTATCGTTATGAAATATCCTTCTTTTTCTAAGCATAACTACTCCAACTCTTTTATGGTTGTCATTTGCATTGTATACATCTTTTTCACCCTTTTATTCTTTCAACCTATTTATTTCTTCACATCTAAACTGGGTAAAATGTAGATGGCGTATACTTGGATTCTGTTATTTTATCCAGTCTCACAGTCTTTGTCTTTTGATTGGACTGTTTGATCTATTTATATTTATCATAATTAAAATTACTGTAATTAAGTTAACTTACTGTGATTGAACTTTTGATGTTTTTTACTGTAATTTCTGGAGTTATTTTTTATTAACTACCCTGGGAATTACGATATGGATGTCAACGTAATATAATCTACTTTAGATTAATAATCATTTAATTCCAGTAACACAGGGAAGCTTTGCTCCTCCATCCTTTGTCCTGTTAATGTAATATGATTTACATCTTAATATATTCCAAGCCCAACAATATAGTTTTTAAATTATTGTTTTATGTAGTTGCTCTTTAAAAGAAAAAAGAAAAAATGATGTATA